TAGTAGTAAGGTTTTCCTTTTTTGTCTTGTTTTGAAGGGTTAAATGAAGGGTATAATTTAGACTCCAATTATACTTATCTAAAAATGCATAAATTCGCTGAAAGGCCTACTTGTTACCGTGCAACCATAAATAAGTTACTAAGTTTATTCATTCATGTGATTTTTCCCTTAGTAACGTATAGCAGGTAATGATCCTAGTTGTCATGAGTAGTTTATGGAAACCAAAGGGCAATCCCTTTTGCCCTTGGTGTGTTACAGATAATGAATATGCTGTATTCTGAGAAGGCAGATCACAGATCTTGGGGAGCAGGCTACTGGGATCTCTTTAGGATAGAGCTGGTGGCTCTTAGCTAAGGGAAGAGCTCAGAGCACACCCTTTGGACACTTTCCTCCATGGAAATTGTTTCTGGCTTCTGCTCCGGTGCTTTGCTGAAGATGTGTCAAGCTACCTGCACATCTTTATGCAAATCTGTGGGCCTCCTGGTAGTGAAGGAGGCATATGATTGCACTGGATGTCGATTCAGACATTTCACTAACTGGTTTTTGTTAATTTACAGCTGGCTTAAAGTAAGACAAAACACATCTTTTTTTTTTTTTCTTGAAGATCTGTTTCATCTGAATAATTTGTTCAGAAGAAAGGAGTTAGGATGTTCTTGTGTAGTGGTTTTCTCAAAATTAGATTATTAGAACTTTCTGAATTCAAAGAAACCAGAAGCAATGTCTGCACGATAAGATTTAGGAATAAAGAACTCTAGAAATCTCAAAGCACTCTAATAAATCTGACAGATGTAGAGAGGGCTAATGCGGGTGAAAATAAGTGTAAATGCAAAGCTTAGAAAATAAATGAGATCGTCAGTTGGGGGCGAAGCTTGGCTGCCTCTTCAGAAGGGTTCCTGTAATTCTAAAGCACAAAAATATTAGAGGACGTTCAAGAAAAATATCCATGCTTGGCGTGTAGATAGCAAAGTTTCTGATCTCTGAGAAAATAAACAGAGTGGCTTATGGCTGGGAGGTACCCTAAAAGTGTAGTCTTAGAATAATGTGGTATTTGTGATCAATATCTACACACATGAATAACAATGATCTTAGTGCTCAGAAATCTGGGGTGGGCTGTGTATGGTAGCTCAGGCTATAATCCCAGCATTTTGGGAGGTTGAGGCAGGAGGATCACTTGAGGCCATGAGTTTAAGACCAGCCTGGGCAACATAGAGAGACCCATCTCTACAAAAAGTAGAATATTAGTCAGGGATGGTGGCACAAGCGTGTATTCCCAGCTGCTCAGAAGGCTGAGGCAGGAAGATCACTTGAGCCTGGAAGTTGGAGGTTGCAGTGAGCTGTGATTGCGCCATTGTACTCTAGTCTGGGTGATGATGAGGCCCTGTCCTTAATAAAAAAAAAAAAAATGAACAGATACAGAGATTGGGAATCCTTTTTTTGTAACCAGAGGAGGTTGTAGACACATGATATGTGCCCCTTTCCCACTGAAACTTCCCTTCAGGCTTCCTGAGGGGAACTGCGATTCTTGGATACCTAGCAGGTACAACATGACAGCAGCGTCACCCCCTGGTTGTCTGTATAGAGTTTTAATGCATCCCGGGTCATGAAGCCTTTTGTTTTTGTTTGGTCTAAGCAGACTTTGAAAGTGCTTCTGAGAGGTGCTAGTAATTGAATTTGCTTTGACACACTGGGTCAGTGGCAGTGCTGACCTGGAAGCTACTGATTAAATGGGCAACAGAAAGTCATTCCCAGGTGGGAAGAGAACACGTGTTTCCTGCCCATTTAATTGGTGGCTTGAGTCAGCTGTTTCTTTGGCCTGGGTCCGAGGCTTTAAGAAAACCTTCCATTTGCCCACCTGTGAAACTTTTGTTCTCAGGTGAGGCCCCAGCCCAGCAGCACCAGCTGTTAGCATTGCAGATTCTCAGGCCCTACTCCAAAAGTACTGGATTAGAAATAGGGTCCCAGTTAACATGCCCTCCAGGAGGTGGTGATGCATGCATGCTCAAGGCTGAGAACTAATGAATGCGGACAAAGGCATTTTTTCTTGATAATAAGTATGCTTGTATAAAAACTTATGAAACAGACATTTTTAGGTATATGCCAAACTTAGCTCTGCTTCCTCCTTCCCTCCTTCCTCTCCTCTGATGGTGAAGCTGAACAAAGCAAGAGGGAGAATGAGAGGCAGCTTTAAATCTTTGAATTACTCTATCACTGCGGTTCTTTAAAATTATTTTTGGATGACAATAATTTTATGACTGGGGGTCACCACAACATGAGGAACTGTATTAAAGGGTCGCGGCATTAGGAAGGTTGAGAACCACTATTCCTTGAGAGCCAGTTAAGCAGGTAAATATACACTGTTTTGTATAAATATATAAAGATATACACAATGTTTAAAGATACATGGTTTATGTGTGTGTGTGTATATAACTGCATACATATTATATATACTCACGTACATAAAGATATCTGCAATGTATAAAGATTGATTACATTGTATATGTAAATCTCTTGTGAATGCAGGAAAGACAAAATCGGGAAATTCCAAAAGGAGAGCACCATTGAGAATCTGAAGGGGTTAGAAAAAAGTAGGAAGACCAGAGGTCAGCAGGAGTGGGGAAGAGAACCCAGATTAGTATTGGCCACTCAACTCAAAAGGGGCTGTCATCTACCTAGAATACCCTCCCTGCAAATGGTTCCTGGAGAGCTGTGCCTTGCAGTGTCCTGGGTCAAGGAAAGAGCAGAAGGTGGCCTTGGATGGGCCCCTAAGGTTTTTTTATTTTCCTAAGATTGAGTCAAACGGGGTGCTTCAGGATTTTAGAATTGGTAACTAAAGATAGCTGTGCTGTCTCCTCCAGGAGTCCATAAAGACAGAGCAGATTCTCATCTCTCTTGGAGGTCCTCAGTGAGAAGAATCAATGTTATCTTATTTCTAGAACCCTTCCAGCTGATAGCAACGAGTTGATGTTATTGTTGCCTGTATTTATCTATTATTTATCTATCTATCTATCTTAAAGACCTCTTCTCCAAATACTCAAAGAACTTAAGCTATTTAGCTTATCTTTTAAAGATCATGGGGCAGGAATGGTTACCACGAATGGTTGTCCCAGTAACAGAGAAATAAGGAATCTCTCCAGAGTGTTTCTGTGTCTAAATATTGGAATGTACCCAGCCCCCTGCAGAGTGCTTACAAGCTCTATATCCTTTCATTGTTATTCTAGGATAGAGGTATTGGTAATAGCCTCACCTTGAATCAAGATGAAAGCCTGAGCTTTTATTCATTCCACCTTATCCTGTCCTAAACTGTGACATTTAACATTGGCTAATGTCTAGATTCATTCAGGAATGTGGTTACCTGTTTGATCCTTTCTTCTTTTTTTTCTTTATAAAAAATTGTATTATTACACTGAGAGATCACAAGTGTGAAATTGATCTGAATTTTTTTATTAACTCATAAACACATAGATCATGTACACATTAATGTATTTATGGGGTACAATGTGCTGATTTCATATAGAATTAGGAATGCTTACATCACCAGAATCCACA